AGTTTTCAAACAATGGGACCGGACATCATCTTCTTAAAGAAATTTATTTTATATTAAGAGTAATAAATTAAATAAATTATATTCAGCCAGATAGGTACTTTTTCAACTAGTTCCAGAAGACATGTTTCATATAGTATATAATTATTGAGATGAATTCCTAAGGTTAGCTCCGAGGTACATGGCCTGGCCTAGGGAGCTCCTGTACTCCGGCTTCATCTTCTCACTCAAGGCCATGGAGTTCAACTTCTGGAAATCGCTCTGAACGTTCTTGAACACCGTCTCGATGTCCAGCTCTCGGTTCCTGAAGGTCAACAGGAGAATTAGACATGAACCAAAATTGGGATAGTAAAATTTATAAAAAAAAGATGATTTTTCTAATATGATGGGGATACGGAGGCTCATGAGTGCCAAAGTGATTAAATACTAAAGTGTGCCAAACTTATAGTTGGATGACGACATTTCATGTCCCAAGTATTTAGAAATATGTATATATATATATAAATTGGTTTGTATACGGAGTGTACAGTACAACAGAAACTGGACTCTCTTTGTTTACAAACACAGACTTAGAATTTGTATTTAACTTAAATATAGATTAACGTAAATTAAGATTTCAGAAGTGAAATTTAGCCATTTTACTGCACAATAAATAATTTCAGACAGCAAAATAATGCCTACAGGCATAATCTGTAAAACATGGAATGCACAATGTGTGATACCGAAAAATGAGGATCTTCGAATATATCTCTTGATCTTCACTTTTACGGGTCTTCAGTCTATTGTTTTCTAGTCTTTACTTTTTAAAAGAAATCTTTTCATGCAATTTTCTCCAAACCAAATAAAACCTTATGGCCTAACCTGTCGTCGTTGCCTTAGTCTGTTCCACTTTAGTATTTATTGACTTTGCATGAGTGCCCATAGTAGGGACGAACAGCTTTCTTTTAGAATAGAAAAAAACCATTTATAACACTGATAAATTTCACGGTTACAACTGAGTGTTAAATGAAAAATAAACCATTAATTTTGAAAATGAAGTGTTTAATTAGTTCATATAATTAGCATTAAGATAAGACAATTTAAATTTCAGAATTGTTAACAAAAAATGATAAATTCCAACCCAATGACCTGATATGGTTAAGAAGATGCTTCATGTAGACTCCGACATGAACTCCGGTTCTAATATCATTCTCTTCATACGCTTTCATGTTCGGCATAGTCCCGTATCCAATCACAAGGTTGGGACTGTTCTTCATGATATATCCAGAGGACTGCTTTGACTGCTCCAGCTTGCGCTTGATGAAGTCCTTGGGGTCGTCCCTACATGAGTCGTACATAATAACCCCTAGCAAAGGGTTCTTGTCAGAGATAACTGATTCAACAAAATAAAATAAACACCTATTTATTTTACGTTATTAAACGCTTAAGTGTCTAAGCTGATTGAAAGGGACTGTAAGCGTAATTTCAAGTGCCCTGCCCTCCATGCAAAGACGATACTTCTTGTTCTAGTTCTGTAAAGAAAGATAATATAAATATTTCTTTTTGCATAGCTCCTTCACTTAATATTACATGTCATTCAGAGATTAAAAACAGCAAAAAGAACTCCGATGTTCATTACAAAGAGTCTTATATAATCCATACATTCCAAGACATCTTTTGTTCTTATTTGTTAAGCATTCATAATTAATTTATTATATATATTTTGTTCCTGATTCAATATGTCCATGATGAAGAAGTATTTGTGAGAGTGGAGTTGGATCATGTTCTTCTAGACTACTCTCAACAGGAGCTAATACAAACACATACTTATAGTTCAGTGCTTAGGACTCGTACAAAACCTTTCTGCAAATTATTCTTGTCGTTTTTTTTAATAGCAGGTGGTCTGTGGTGAAGACATCCAAGGAACTGAATTTAAGATGAAGGAACCGAGTATATAAATAAATAAACAGAAGATCGTGGAATATCCCCAACGTGGAATCCCCAGACCGCCACCAGAGTAATGGTCTCAGTCAGACCAAGATAGTCAAGTATCGCAAAGAAGCTTGCGCACGAATGAAAGGTCGATACGGTACGGGGAAGATTGGTACTCTCTGACGTCATATTCCAGTACCTATGGACGGAGCAGAGGATAGTGCAGTGAGCGGATACGGGCGTTGTGACGTAGGTAGGGTACAGGATTCCAAGTTGCATGACTACTTTACCCTTTTCCAGTACCCATGAGTCAGACTGATTCCAAAACCCGGTCAAGTCTGCACCCTGATCACCCTCCTCCTACTCCAAAGTACGGTACTACCGGACGCTGGCCAGCCAAACAACCTGTTCACGAAAGAAAGAAAGAAAGGAACCGAGTATTCGCCTTAAATGCATATTTTCTAATCTTCTAAACCTAAAGTCGTGGACCTTTGATACTTTAAAATGTGAATTCTGCTAAATCAGGTCGTCAAAGGTTTACACCACCAGGTTGAAAAGATATAGAGATTAGAAAAATCGTGGCGAGTTATCAGTTTATAAATTCATTTGCCGAAAAAAAGCAAAATAGTTCAGACATAAGTCATAGTTTCTATAAAAAAAATAAAACAACTTTGATTTAAATCTTCTATTTTTTTTGCAAAAAAACATAGTTAAGCTTAATTTGTCAGCAGAAATACATGGTTTAGTTCAAAATAATTTCAAAACTAATTTGAGTATGATGTGTTCCTAAATATATATCTTCACTATGTCCTACAGCGTGTCCGTTATAGTAGAAGAGGCAATATGTCTCTTCATCAATAAAACTAGCAAACAAGTCTACAGCATTCCTAAACATTTTCAATTTAAACTCAGTGAGTGAGTGAGTGTGCCAGTTAGCGGGTCAGTGAGTCATTTAGTGAGTCATAAAGTGAGTCAGTAAGTCATTTAATTGATCATTAAGTGCGTCAGTGAGTCAGTAAGTGAGTGAGTCAGTAAGTGAGTGAGTCAGTAAGTGAGTGAGTCAGTAAGTGAGTGAGTCAGTAAGTGAGTGAGTCAGTAAGTTAGTGACTCGCCATCGTTCCTGGTGGCTTTAAGGTTGGAAAACTGCGAAACTTTTTGATATTTTTCCTCGCAGATTATTAGAGCAATCTTAAACTTCGGGAAACTAAAAAACAAAACAAAAATCAAGATGCAGAGCAAATTTTCAAAAAATGAAAAAAATGGTGCAATACATGGCTTTCCAGATTGGACATGATTTTGACCCCACTCCCACAAATAAAAGCTATCTTTTATCGTCAAAGAAATGTTATGTTATAAAAATATTTACCTGCATTCGTTAGTTGTTGATTTGGCAACCCTGATACTAACTATATCTGAGTACACGGATTCTCCTGTACTAGGACAGTACGCCCTAGTACAAATATAGACTAGTATAGTATCCTGATACTAACTATATCTGAGTAAAAGGATTTTCTAGTACAAATATAGATCAGTAAAGTATCCTGATACTAACTATATCTGAGTACACGGATTTTCCTGTACTAGGACAGTATACACTAGTACAAATATAGATCAGTAAAGTATCTTGATACTAACTATATCTGAGTACACAAATTCGTAATCACTGTTCGGTTATATTGCAATTTGAAAAAGAAAACTTTTGAATTTAGAAGTTTCACTTCTCACATATCTCTTCGTGCTCCAAAGATTGATTTAAAGATTAGAGCCGGATTCAAAGAAGAAATAAAGGTATATAAAAATATAATTTCAAGTTCGAGAAGAAAAAAACTGATATTCCTCTCTGGATTTCAAGATTAAGAATAGTTTAAATGGAACAGTTTAAGTATTTAGTTGTTACCTGCAGACATATTGCCAAACTGTTACCCCGTCCCCACCCTCAACAACCTCCCCTGATATCATCAATTCAAAACATTCGACATTTCAGAGAGAAAAGGGAAAAATGTCGTCTTTTTAACATTGACACAACAACCGACTTCAAATTAATAAATTCCTGGACGACGTGTGTGCGTATAGGTTTAAAAAATTGTTTTTCTTCTCATTTCTTTGATTTATCCTTTTATCCATTGATTAACAAATCAAATTTATTTGATTGAAGTTAATTGATTGATTGATTTCTCCCTGATAGTTCCCTCCCAACTGCTATGGGAGTTATACTGGTTCTAACACATACCTGGACAATAAGATTCAGGATTTAAAGGGACAGACCGGCTATGTAAGGTAGTTAAACTGAGTGTGCAGTGCTGTGGACAAATTCTTTAGGAATCATTTGAGAATTATTCTTTTAAAAATCCCTGAATATTTGTTGAGATATTGTCAAATAAAATTGTCTTTTTTAAATTGTCAAAGATAGTTCACGAACAGAAACAAGCTGGGAAAATATGTCAGAATATAAATGATAAAGGATAAAGTCGCGTTTGGTCATAAAAAATGAATATCCTAGATCCTGATGTTATATGTTATAAAAATAAAAAATACAATAAAAAAGTAACTATTGAACAGTTAACAAATTACCATTTCTTGATTAAAATAAAGAAAGTTGAAGTAAATAATTTCATTATCATTAAGTTACAATCGTGTTTGTCAAAGTAACAAGTAACAGTCAGTGTCAGTTTTGAGCGGATTCCTTGTTAAGAACTATTTGCCCTTGAATTTACCTCTGGAGGATTCACTGTGATGTCCTCTCTAATTCCTTGTTTCATCCATTCGTAAACTATTGGTTGTCCGCACACAACTTCAAACCTCAGAGTGATCTTCTCTCCTGAACAGTGTACAGTGTACAGTGAACAGTGTACAGTGTACACCAATTTTAAGTACTGTCTGTAATTGGAAATTTAATAGTAATCAAAGAAATACAGTACAAATTGCAAAAAAAAAAAAATTTTTGTTGAAAAATTTCTAGCCTAATGATGACATCACAAAAATCTAGCCTAATGATGACATCACAAAAAACTAGCCTAATGATGACATCACAAAAAAAAACTAGCCTTAAGATGATATCACAAAAAACTAGCCTAAAGATGACATCACAAAAAAAAACTAGCCTAATGATGATATCACAAAAAACTAGCCTAATGATGACATCACAAAAAAACTAGCCTAAAGATGGTATCACAAAAAACTAGCCTTCTAATGATGGCATAACAAAAAACTAGCCTAAGGATGACATCACAAAAAAACTAGTCTAATGATGATATCACAAAAAACTAGCCTAATGATGACATCACAAAAAACTAGTCTAAGGATGACATCACAAAAAAACTAGCCTAATGATGACATCACAAAAAAACGTTTAAGTTTTCGTTTATCGTCCTGAGCTGGAAACTCTTGTGTCGAATACCCTTAATCTCAATATCCACTTTGTACACTTTTGATTTTCTGCATCTTCTCTTTTGTTACAGGGCATACAATTTCAAAATATCAATAATATCTCAGATTTTTCAAAGAAACTCAATTGCACCAAATCTTTAAAGTTTAAAACTGAACCTAAAACCCTGGACGTGCATACATATTTGTGACCACTTGGAGAGAAGATATTTGGAAAATACGGGGTTGTAATCATGGGTTGAGTTTAAAAAGATGAGATTTATCTTACCTATTAGTTTTTCATCATCTTTGAACCATTGATAACTTAACAACTCAAAACTCTCCGCCTAAATGAATGGTTTTAAAATATTCTATTTTAATTTACACAAAACACAAAAATATACAGTTTCATTCAAAATTTAGGGAAATCGAAAGAATTTATAAAATGTCGTCTTCTAAACCTACTAATAATAGAATCCTGCAGATATTTAAATACTCATATCATATCCTAGATGTTGTTGATTGTTGAAGCAGAGAGAACATAAAAACTGATAAAACCAAAATATTTTAAATATTGTTGCATGGAATTAAAACTAGGTAAATAACGAATAAATAAGCGATATTTTCCTTACACATTATTATTAACTAAATATGGGCCTTAAATGTGATTAAAATATTTTTTTCGTCAGAAAAAATTGTAGTTTTTCGTTAAAATTCTTAATAATACTAAAAAAATATGATTACCTGACAGGAAAGTTGAGCGGAACCACCAAAGGAAGACTCTACGTGGGTCGGATGCTTTGTCACAATTAGACTGCCCTAAATACATTGACAACTGTTTAGTGTTTAGGAAAGATTCTACGTGTGTCAAATGCTTTGTCACAATTCACTGCCCTAAATAATTTGACCACTGTTTAGTGTTTAAGGAAGATTCTACGGGGGTAGGATGCTTTGTCCTTGATACTATTAATAACTATGAAGAAAGAGAATTGGTAAAGGACCCCGTAATTCGTCGACTCCTTAATAGTGTAAAAGAAAGATTCTACGTGAGTCGGATGCTAGATAACAACTATCATTGAAAAACAGACTAAGTGGGTAAGCTGCTTTGTAACTATTAGACTTCCCTAGACACAAAGACCACTTTGTAGAGTTAAAGGAAAAGTATACGAGAGCCGGATGATAACAACCAAAATACTCTCACTAATTACTCAAATTTAGAATATGCGACAAAGATTTCACACTCACATATACACGATGAAGTACAGGACACAAAAATAACTATTATACACTTGAAGCCCAACGTACAAAAAAGAATTTTTGATTATCAAAACTACTCTAATTTTGAAAATTTTGGAAACATGGAGAAAATATGAATTTTAAGGATAACCCAAAGTTTGGGATGAGTCGAAGGGGGGAGGGGGGTCTAATTGTAATTCTTAAATCATTAATGACGTAATATGAGTAATTAAAGCTAATTACACCACTTAAAATAGCTACCTTTTCTGGGCGAAGAAATATTTTTTTAGAATTGGTCCAATCATCCAACTTCTCTCTTGTTACTTCTCCAACAACGCAAAGGTTATGCTGTATACGACAGTAGTAGTACCCTACGGTAAATATATGTCAAATATCTCTAGATATTATAGGGTTACCGACAAAGGATGAGACTTTAATGATGACCTAAAACTATTCAAATATAAAACCCTGGAGGTTGAATATAGGTTACACTGCCATGGATACAGTCTTCTACCGACATAATAAATGGTTTGGCAATATTAAAGTAACAAATGTACAGTCACGAACCGAAAAAAATAAGAACTAAATGAAGTCTCCTCCTCTGTTGGTAACCCTTACTGGGTAACCGGCCCTTTTTTTAAAGGCACCAAAAGATGTGCTTGTCCAAAATTTTTTATAAATTGCACCACTTGTCTGAAAAAAAACCTTTCTCTAAAGTCAGGATAGTGACATTTGTAAAAAGATACAGTGTGTCCCACTGACAGTGGAGAGAAAGCTGTGATCTTTGAAATAATTTGCGAAATTCATTCTTCAACTTTAAGGAAAAATTCTAAAAGTAATAATCAAGTCCCGTCATTTCCAAAATGTGGTCTGCCTTTTCTGTGTGTTTCAAAATTACTGAAGATAACATTTAATGAAGATGCCGAAAAATTTCGTTTTATTTAATAATTTAAAATCTGAACCAGCTTCCAGATATCTAGGGTAATATTTACAGCACAAAATGGCAGACCACACTTTGGAAATGCCAGGAGTAGGGGAATTTTGTAAAGTGTTTTAAGAATTATTCATGTAAACGTAGGTTGCCGAGTAAATGCCGCAAATCATTTCAAAGATAAAAGCAATTTTCAACCTTTTTCTGCTCTTTGTGAGAGACCCTATATTTGTTTGAATAAACAAAACTATCTTAAAAACAAATCATTAGCAAATTAAAAATATTGATTTACTTGTAATATAGTCCATTTAAACTCCTCTGAAGGAGAACCAGGTTCATCATTAGGTCTGTAGTACCATTCATACCGAGGGGAGGGGATACCAGAGGCATGAACCTGTATTAGATATATATTAGGTCTCAATATAATTCAAACTATGAGGTTCAGGTGTATAGGAAGAGACCGAGCGCTGCAAAAATCAGATTTAAGAAACAAGTACTATATAGTGTATATGCTAAAGTGAGGAGGCAATGCTATGCTAAAATTAGCTTTTCAAAATTAACATATCACCGAAAAATTAAATCATACAAGTTTCTGTACATAGATAATTGTACAATTGACCCTAAAAACTGTACTTCTACAGTCTACACTGCATGTACCTGTATTGTAACCGGTTCAGGCCCAATTTTGGCGTAAACAACCCAGAACTCTTCAGTCTGTCCGTTCACACGCCGTCTCACTCGTTCATTAGTGGATTCTATATCCTGCTTATACCAATATTCATTCATAAATGGATTCTATATCCAGCTTATACCAATATTCATTTATTAATGGATTCTATATCCAGCTTATACCAATATTCATTTATTAGTAGATTCTCTATCCTGCTTATACCTATATTCATCTATTAGTTGATTCTATATCCTGCTTATAAAATATTCATTTATTAATGGATTCTATATCCAGCATATACCAATATTCATTTATTAGTGGATTCTATATCCAGCTTATACCAATATTCATTATTCTATATCCAGCGTAATGTTCATAAAATATTCTGTTACTAGCAGATTTCATGCTAAGCTTAAAATGTATCTAGTAGGGGATTACATATACGCTACACTACACTCCAGTTTTATCAATAAATTAGTGAAGTTAATACTTAGATCCACAATAAAATATTTTATTTCTATATTAGAGGTGAATATTATTCCTTGACTAGTTTTAGAAGTTGATAACTATAGTTGAGATCATGTATAAAGGAAACTGTGTCACTGGGATAGGGTAGAAGGTTGTCCTAAAAAGGGTTATAAATATGTATAAACAAATATATTATATATATATACTCGTTTAGTCCGCTAAACTTGAGTTCTCTGTGGTAATGATTAGGTGTACTAATTAGCATTATGAAAGGCCCTCAACTTATAATAAGTTGGTTGAGCTCGCTGGTCCCTGTTTCATTGCCAAATCATCAGGGTTTGATGGAGCAGTGGTTAGCGTGTTTGATTCATAATTTAAGGATTCATGGTTCAAGGCCCGTCAACCGCAAAATCAAAATCAGATGATTAGAGCCATACTGATGAGTCCTAATAGGACGAAACACTGTGTCTATGGATTTAAATATATATATAAAAGATTTATTCGAAAGAAAGAATCCCCCTGATTGATTTTAATCCTGAAGTCAACTCGGTTCATCTTAAGTATGAATAATTTAACTTTGTAAAAAACGAATATAAAAATGCAGCATTTAAGTCAAATTAACACCAAAAATATCAAAAACAAAATTACGCTGCAGTTTTACTTTGCAAAATTTTAAAATTCTACTATTTTAGTGAAAACTAAATTTCAACAAAACATATATTCATCAAGATCTAAAGATTCGTATTAAAACAGTGAATTTGGAAACATCCCTGCTCTGATAACAAAGGTAAGAACAATTTGAGTATATGGCAGGGCAGTGCCCAATTTACAGCGGTACCCTTTAAACCTTGTTTGATCAAATATGAATAAGATATCCATGTTTTTGTTTCGTTCAGCTGTTTATTTTCGGTTTCTCTGCAAAAGTGATTTGTGAATTTCTTGCTTATGAGAAGCAATGGATGAATTATCAAAATTGAACACTTTTTGGGTCAGAACTTTTTATGAGATTAATGTTTCGAGAGTACAGTTGTAAATTGGGCATTGTCATCTTTGCGTGGAGGGTCCCTTTTAAGTCCGTCCTACCTCTATACAAATTTTGAGGAAATGAGAGATGGCAAAGTTTTTAGCAGCCATCTGGTTCAGCAGGTCCTGGGCAGAGTTGAAGTTCACAATATGACTTTGGATCAGGATTTTGGAATATCTGATCAGATCAATCAATTTAATATCTCGCAGATCAAATCTTACATCAACCATTGATCAATTCATTAAAAAAAATATTTTTTTCAATTTTTTAACCAATTTTTCTCTTCTTTTCATTTTTGAACAATTGATATAGAAAATAAGGTAATCAAATTATCAATTCAATAACATTGATTTTATTTTTTTCATAATTTTTAATTGATTTCCTGAGTTTCTCCCAAGATTTCTCCGCCTCCATAATCTCAATGAAAGATGAACTTTCCACCCTGACAATTCAAAATATTTTATTAATGCAATTTCAACAACAAACAAGATCTACTTCATGAGACTCATTAATTTTTCGTGGAGGGTACATATTTTCTTGAAAAATCCCCCCCCCCTCTCTATAAAATCATCTTTTTTACCAGATGTTTAATTTTCTCTTTAGTGTTTTATTCACCGAATTGAGAAAAATAAATTATTGTTTTTTTTTTGTTAAAACTCGATGGGTGGAATAACTGTTACTCTGTATATCTGTGTATCGTAAAACTGATGTGATTTGAATTTGTGATTATTTTACATAATCACAAGCGAGCAAAGTTTTACTAATCTCTACTTCCAGATAAGAATGGTTGTCTGGGGGGTTTTTGTTTACCCTGTGAAAATCAATATATGTTTTATATTACAAAATGGAGCTAAAGCACACAAGAGATCAATAAACACTAAACAGTATATAAACCAGTTTTCCCATTTGTTCTTCAATTTTTCAATTCATCCTCAGACCATTCGAATTCAATGAATTAGAGAGGTCACTGAACTACCTACCACTAGTTCAAATCCAGTATTACCAACTCAAATATTCCGGGGATTAAAGCTTTGAACGGAGGTAGGTACTAACCTAGCTCAAACTTGGTAAATTTGGTCTCCGGTTAATTGGATTATATCTCAAATAATAATAATATAAAGCTTCCTACTTGTATTCCTCATCCCGAATAAAGTTCCAGAGCATTAGATCCGGACTTATCTTGGATTTCAAGGTCGTTGTGAAATTATATCTAAAAATTGTAAATCTAGATAATTCATATTTTAAATTTATTTCAAAAGTACCTTCAATTATAACTTATAATGGGGAAAAAAATAAGTGAACTCTATTAATACAGTTTTCATCTTGAAAGTGTGACTAAGGACGGCGTTGAGCACCGTGGATTTCAGAGGAGTTAAAAAATAAAAATGAGAAATAAACTGACCTGTCCTTGATGCTATTTAAGGTTTGAATCCTCCGAACATATTCCTACAAAATAACATTTGTTGTGGCATATGATTACAGGTTGATAAAGGGGCTGTAAGCATAATTTCAAGTGACCCTCCATGAAAAGATGACAAGGTATGAATTAAATATTCATGTTTTTGTTTCTTTTAACCGTTTTTTTTTTATTGCTGTTTTCTACTCATAAGAAGCTATGGAGAAATTATCAAAAGAAAAACGACGCTATTTTCCTCATTTTTTATCAGAATAAGGTTTTAAAGATATCGTTGTAAATCGGGCATTGCCATATTTACATGGAGGGCCACATGAAATTACACTTACATAAGACATAAGACATATTTAGGCTGGCTCTTCGAAATTGGTCACAAAAAAAAGTATTAAATCTATTCTCTGACCCTATTACATGTCCGTTAACTACAACAGCGCACCTGCCGCAAATAAAACTTGTTTGTAATCATTAAAAATTATGTCACCTCTGTATCTGGGTCCATATTTCCTCTCTGCGCATTTGTTCTCTATGAACAATAAAATATGTCCTCTTTTTTAAAATCTCTATGGAAATATTCCAATCTGATTGAACCTCCTTCCCTCCATCTTAAACTGGATCTGAAATATAATGCTATTCACCGACGAATGGAAAAATACATTTAAACATTTGAAAACGGTAAAACTTAACATGTTCATTGAAATATAAATTTAATTTTTAATCTTTTTCCTCAGATTTTTTACACATTCGCGCCGATTTATCTTTAAAAATATTGTTTTAAAAGACATTGAAACTTTTGGTACATTACATATTGTACTACGCTAGACATCAACATGTTTAATGTTTATAGTAAGTTCTATTTAGATAAATTACTACTTCATGTCTATATTAACAACGAACGGCAACTTTTCAACGGGATAATTTCAAGAATTTTGCATGTCGAAATAAATTAATTTTAATAAATTAAATAAATAAATATTAAAACAAGAGATAAAGTTTAATGAGCTGTCAGTTTGTCATAAAAGACAACCCAAAGTAAAAAAATGACTACAGTAATAACCAGAAAACCGTGGAATTGGAACACGACATTATAGAATTAATGAAGTGCATTTGATTTTGATACAAAGCAAATAGCTTTACTTGAAAGTTATTAAATTACAAAAGTAAAATGGGTCTGTTTACATTGCACAATTGCTGTGCCTCATGTTTAATGCGCTATTAAGAGTCATAGCTTGAGTTTAAAAGGCGACTTCAAATTCCATAGTTTTCTGGTTATTACTGTAGATTAAATAATAAATGCAAGTGAAAACTGTATTAGAAAATATTATAATATATAAATAAAATAAAACAATTTTTAAATCTTTGGTGTTAACAATAGGACTAGATTTTTGTTGAGATCACTTAGATCAAAATCACATTTAAACAACTTAAAAAAAATTTGATTATTTCCCCTCAAAAATAACATTAAGAATAACGAGGTTTTCAAAACATATCCCTTCGCCCCCGCTGATATCGGAAATATAGCAAACCATATTCAAGACCTAATTCTTAACCATAGGTGGGAACTCTTGTATTGTGGATATCGAGATCAAAGCTTGATCTCCATCTTTCGTTAACATGCAGATTAATTTAATCTGTATTTGATATCCCGTAAATAGTGTCGTCTGTGGAAAACAGACAGCCAATTAGAAGCCAGGGAATTATGGATTCAACCAATGAGACAACAGTGAAATAGCTGATTTCCAAAATGAAGAGACCAGGCAGAATATTCTGCGCATAATTCTAAAGTACCCGATGTGAATATCAAGATCAAACGATCGGCATTATGGGTATTCATCACAAAGGTTCCCAGATCTGATTTTTTAATCTTGTTGCTTTGTAAAAATTCAAATTTGATTATGGTTTCATCATTGTTTAATTCATGATTGATGCAGGGCTGAGGGTTGGACATTGATCCTTGATTTGATCCCAGTTTCAGATTATAACTTCCTGCTCACAGGCGGACTGAAACCAATGAGAACCACACAATATTTCAACCTGAAATAGATTTGCTTTGTTATATCTTGATTCACCTGCATCTAGTATTTAATATTATCTTGATCTCTGAAGTGTTATCTTCTCATAGAGACGATTGTGCAGATTTTATATTATTTAATTAATTTAATTGAAATTAATCAGAGTAGAGTTATTTATTTAAAGTTTCATGGATTGTATTATTCAAGACTTGAAAGACTTTAAAAATACAAGACCTGGGCAAGAAAGAAAAAAAAGAAAGATGAAGGAAGAACAGAAAGGAAGAAAAGGAAAACAAGGAAAAAGATGAGCATAGAGGTACAGAAAGTAGAAAAAAGTAGGAGAAAGGAAGAAAATAAAAAGTTAAAGGAAGAAGAGGAAGGGAAAAGATGAATGAAGAAAGCAAAAAGTAAAAATAAGGAAGATGAAAGAAACAAAGAGGAAAAATGAAAAAGAAAAGAAATGTAGAAATAGGAAGAAGAAAAGGAAGATGATGGAAGTGGAAGAAGGAAGTAGAAGAATTACAAGGAAGTAAAAGAATTACTAAGAAATTACAAGAAAGTAAAAGAATTACAAGAAAATAGAAGAATTACAAAAAGTAAAAGAATTACAAGGAAAAAGAAGAATTACAAGGAAAAAGAAGAATTACAAGGAAATAGAAGAATTACGAGGAAGTAATTGGCAGTAAGGATTACCTCTAGATTATTATTCCTGATTGTTCGAACGATCGTCTGTATTCCCTCACAGTTCACCGCCCAGCGAGATAGGTTTCCAAATTGTCTATACAAGAAGGATTCAATTAACATTACAGTCCATTTCGCATAACTAGCTCAGATTAACAAGCAGTACATTTATAGGACTTGGGTAACAGTTTCAGGAAATTAAGGTTACAGTCCCTTGATCAGAGCTACCTAAGATTAGGTTAACAGTCCCTTTAACAAGGTTACCTGAGATCAGAGTAACAGTTCTATCCGACATAAGGAAACTGTCTCTTTACGAAATGAATCTTGAATCCAGTAAACTATGTTTCACTTGTACAGATCTACCCAGTATCAGGAAAAGAGCCCCTTTAAATTCTTCTGAATATCAGGAGAACATCCTTTTTAAAAATTTCCCAACTCAGGAGAACAATCCTTCCTAATATCAAAAGAACGGCCCATTTGAAAGCACACCTAGTAACTGGAGAACGGTCCCTCTAAGTTTATTTTGGTGTCAACAAAACGAGAACTTTAAAACTCTGCCCTGTATAAGGGAACAGGCCCTCTAAAACTCCCAAATATGAGAACTGTCCCATAAAAAATATACCCAGATTCAGCCTTAGGTGAACGGTCCCTTTAAATGTGCCAACCTGAGATTCGGGAAAGCTTCCAGGATTGTGTAGAAAGAGTTTTCTGTTAGAAGAGAAGCTTCGTAAATATAGAAACAGCGCAGTCTTAGCCTTGATTCCGCTTTTTCTAAACAATAATATTAATATAGAAACAGCGCAGTCTTAGCCTTGATTCCGCTTTTTCTAAACAATAATATTAATATAGAAACAGCGCAGTCTTAGCCTTGATTCCGCTTTTTCTAAACAATAATATTAATATAGAAACAGCGCAGTCTTAGCCTTGATTCCGCTTTTTCTAAACAATAATATTAATATAGAAACAGCGCAGTCTTAGCCNTACTTTTTATGATATCCCCCCCTCCTATTTTTATGATATCCCCCCACCTCCTAATGTATGCAATGCATGATAATTGTTAGTTTGATATTTACCTATAGGTAAAGCCTCTGTAAGATCTGAATCCCCCAGGTCTGGACAATGGTTAGCATGAAAGTTAACAAGACTAGGGCAGTTCCCGAGAATAACGGACACCACGCTGTTCTGAACCATCTGTCCGAACTGGACGTGGGACAAGCTTTGGAACCACGCCCTCGTCACGTTCCTTGGATTGTTGTAGGCGGAGTAGCCCAGGGAGGGCGTGGCTTGAAGACTGTCCTTAAACTCGATTGTGAAAACCTTTAAACTTTCGCATTTGTGAAAAATCTTGGATACATCAACCTCCGGGATATACAGGACAGGGGCCTCCTGGATATCCTGATCCTGAACAATAAATTCCAGGCAAATCTTCTCCAGATATTTGGCTCGCTTACAGTTCTCGAAATAATAGATGATCGAGTTAAGAACGGATTCCGAGTATCGAACTCGAATGAGCGTGAGTTGTCTAAGATGGGGAAAGTATGAAAGATCCCAGATATCAAACATGGGTTCCCAACAGGTTAAACTCCTACAAACAAGCCATGTTCTTTTACAATGTAAAATATAAGAGATTGGTCTCAATTTTAAGTTAAATCTATCTTACCCTAACTTGACCTGAATAGCATAAACACGCGCGGTTGACAAAGAATAAAATAAGGAAGAACTACGAGAGATCGAGGCCGAGAAACTATTTTAAATGAAAAAATAACTTCATTACGCTGGTCTCTGTAAAATCGGATTACTTCTACAAACGTTAAAACTAAAATGTTAGTTGAAAGAGAAAAACCATTCGAAATGTGAATGGACACATTCTCCGCAACTGTTTAAAAAGTATTTGCAACGACAGCAAATACATGAAATTTATTCCGACGGCAAAAGTCTTTTAACAAAATATTATCTCAGCATTTTTATGTTTTAAAATATATTACTGTTTGGTGCACAAAGTCTAGAAAATATATTACGGTTTGGTGCACAAAGCCTAGAAATTATATTACGGTTTGGTGCACAAAGTCTAGAAAATATATTACGGTTTGGTGCACAAAGTCTAGAAAATATATTACGGTTTGGTGCACAAAGTCTAGAAATTATATTACGGTTTGGTGCACAAAGTCTAGAAAAAAATGGATTTCAATTTGTAAATGAATAAAGCCCTTCCTTATATTGTTGAATACATGAAGAAGATTGTACATCCCCGTGGTGGAGACCTTCCTGGCGTGCAGGGAGATGAGGGGGAACTTGTCCATCTTCAGGCTGGACACCACGCACAGGGACCTGAAGAAGGAGTCACTGATGCAGTACTCGCCGAGGGAACTCAACTTCTCGATCTTCCTGTAGAGGAACTCCAGGCCGACGTTGGTGATACTGGTGTCGGTAATGTCGACAGTGCGCAAAGAGGAACAGATAGGTTGGAGAATATGTTTAACCTAATTAGAAGAGTAATATTCTAATTTTTCTTACTTTAATTTTCAAGAAATGAAAAATAACGCATTTTTTTTAACATAATTTAACGTGAAAATCCTCCTATCCTTTCTCCCTCACAAAAAAACTGAACAGAAGTTAAAACCTTTGGTTAAGATAGAGCTCAGCCAAATTGAAGAAACTCTTTATTGTTTGTCTTTATCCAATAAACGTCATGACGGATAAACAGATCGGCCTAAATTTTTGGTGGCAACTCATATGACCCCCGGGAATGTTTAATTTTGAGCTACCTCCAGTAGACCTTCCGTGCTGGCCCCTGAGCCCCCAACAGGAGTTTTCAAACAAGTTTGAAAACGATCTTTAAAGTTTCTCCAAGAGGAAAACCCGACACAGCCTAGGGTTCCTAAACAGTAAAATATTTTCAAGACTATTTGATTTTCTTATATTTTATGGAACTTTTCAGATATATTCTGGGGTTAAACAGAAGAGGGGAGAGGGATTTGTGAACTTGTGAAGTCTTGCGGAGATAAAACTGAGAAGTTGGGACATTATTTGGCAAGATTTGTCTTTTTTAAGATACTTTTT